TGTACAGTTTAGATCTGTATACTCTATATGAGGTATCCTATTGTCTAAACTCTTCCATCAATTTAATCCATAAATTAACAAATACACAACAAGGTATAGTATATTTAGAAAAGATAGCAAAACATTCAGCTGGAAAATACATTCATTTTCTTACAATTTATATTTCTCATTATCATCTTTATATGCTTTCAGTGAAAAACAGATAGAAGGAATGTGGAAGTAGAGATTTGGGATTTTACATGTAGGAGGTAAATGGTGACAGAAGAGCAAGGCAGGGAAGGATCAGATAAGGGATTTAGAACAGACACAACATGTCAAACTAACAGTACACCCACACTTATTTCCAGCAGTGAATGGATGTTTAGAAAAAAAAACCCAAACCAAATAGTTCAGGTACAGAGTGGTGCCATCCACTCTCTGACAGACAAAGATTTCCAAATGCAGGGATTAAATTCAGACCATCAAGTTTAAAAGCCATCAGTAGACCTGACCCATCCACCATGAAGATTTCTAATTCCTAACCTCCTCTGCTTTAGTTTAAATAAATGTCTTGTCAGTCACAGGCCTTTACTTCAGGCCACTTCCACATTTTAGAGAAAAATGTAGCAAATAAAAATTGGTCAAGCTTTACCAAACTTCTGTCTACTTCCATAAAAGAACCGATGCCATCGTTCTGCAAACCTTGTCAGGTGTGCTTGTCTTGAAAGGTTTTAAACACTGCCAGGAAGTTCTGTTATTAAACTTCTCTGGGAAGCACACTGGGTTAATAGTTTGTATTCACAGGAAAAGTAACATAAATAAGCAAAGCCATTCTACTCTGTATAGAGATTACGAATCTGTATACTTTTTACTGTCACATTACATCAAGAAAAGTCAGTAGAAGAAAGAAAATATCAAGCCCTATGTAATACTATACTTGAGTGTAATTTCTATAGATACACATGTACTATCTCATCTTGCTTTTCTCTGAAAACTAATTAAAATAGCCACTGTATAAAACTAGATTTCATATTCTTAGAATATTAAACACTCTATTCTGTTTTATCTCAATATGTTTCTATTTTTATTTACCTCTCTTCAGACTACAAAATGTAGACACGTGCTGTTATTCTCATTTGAGAGGAAGAGTGGCTTGCCCAAGGTCAAAAAGGCAGCTTGTGTCATAAAAAAACAACTAATCCCATTCAATTTTCCCAAATCACCTGCTGAAGGCCTTAACATAAATGTATTCTGGGCCTCCTTCACTTAAAATCTTTCAAATACTGTTCACTGTTGTCTTAATGATGTCTTAATCATAATCTTTGCTACAGTCATCTCCTTCTTTCCTCCCTGTACCTTCCTCCCCTTGCCTTGCATCAAGGATACTTTCACAGCTCAACAGCTGCCCCAGCTGCCAACAAAAAGCCTTCAAGAACTGTCACAACCAGAAATGCAGGAATTTCTGTGCTCTGTCCACTACTCTTCCACTCCTAATACTCTTTTCTCCCTGTTCACAGAAAAGGAATGGGCAAAGTGCTGTTTGCTGCAGGGTTTAGTTCTCCATCCAGCAGGTCCTGGCCTGAGGAGGGCTGGAGGATCCGTTGTATTCTGGCTGATTGATGCACAGGTTTTTACAGATGATTTTACAGGTGCAATTTACTGACCGGCTATGTTTTAGTCCACAAAATTACAAGGTAAAAGGTGTTATATAGCCTCTCTTAAGATGCCAGATAACAAAACCACCAGGGAATTTCTTTAGGTAAAAGAAGTCATACAGATGTTTTAGAAAGATATCAAAACTAAATGCAAGTATTTGACTGATAAAGGAAGAACATCTTCTAGTAAGTTTTTTCAAAAGTTAATGATCTGGTGATTAAAAAAGAGTTCTTATTTTCTATTTGACTTTTTCTTGCTTCATAATGCATTTTTATGCCTTTGCCTGCCACATTACAGAATATTCCAGAGTGAGATACTTCAGCTTTGAAATTTATTCAGGTATTCTTGATCAGTTTTTTTCTAAGTAGTACACTAATTGAAATTCTCTGGTATTTCTGAACTAAAAACAAACAAAACCCCACAAACAAATCCAAATAAAGATCTATAAACACACACAAAAAAATCTGAAAACAAAAATTAATTAAAAAAAACAAAACTAAACAAAACCAGAATGAGGGCAGATCTGGAGAACAGAGCCTTAGAACTGCTGAATATACATAAAAAGCAACGGACTTTGAAGACTTTCAACATCTACAAAACAAGTCTATTTAAGAAACAGAGATAGTTGTCACCACAAAATATATTTGAAACATCTAGAAATGCCATAGCAATGATACTGTGGGACTCTCAGCTGAGAAGCTGTAGCTGTAAGAGCCAGTCTCTGCTGACAGAGTGAACACTCAGGTCCATGAGCTTCTCATTAACTGAAAACTAGGGAATTCTTGTAGTTGGGTCAGATATTAAAATAATGGAAGAATCCTCTCTAATCAGAGCCATCAAAATAATATTTTTTGTTTCAAGTCCAGCTCTACAACGCCTTGAGATTTTGGGGTATTATCTGGAGCCATTACACGGGATCCTTTCAAAAGAAGTAGTCAAACCTACTGCATAAATGGCTGGGATGGGCCACGTCTTGACCGAGTCCCTTTGGTGAAATCATCTGATGAAGCAACTGGTTTCCTTTACCTTCTCTATAAGAGGCTGGAATATGCCTGGATACTCAGCAACAATGAAAACATTAGTGTGTTATCAATGTTATTCTCGGGAAATTCAAAACACAGCACAGTACCAGCTGCCAAGAAGAAAACTGAGACAACACTGTAAAGTTGTGACAACCCAAGAAGCACGTGGAGGATACGCTCCAAAAATGAGAGACTGTGATCAGTGCTAGTTTTTGAGTTGTACACTCAGTGTGGCACGACCAAAAATACAACCTTTTTCGAACATTTCTTCTTTCTGGCCTGGTATCTCCACCATTATATCCACACCCCCCAAAGAAGCAGGGTCTTACTGTGGCTCCCTGCTGAGAGGCCCTGTCAGTGGGTTGTTTTCTGTCCACCGTGTGTGCAGCCTTGTGTGCTGTAACTGGGGAAGGACAAAGTGCAGGGAGTTCTAAAGCCCATGTTGCAATGGTCCCTAGGGAACCACTGCCAGCTGGCAGAGGCTACAGCAACGCAGGGGCCTGGGGCTACGTGGAAAATCAAAGAGCTGGAACCATCTCCCTGACAGCCCCACGGTGTAAACTGGATACACGGAAGAATCCAGGTCTTTGTGTGCATGAGGGAGAAGATCAGTGTTTATACCATTTCATGAAAGATTTTATCTGTCAATACATTAAACAAGGTAAAAGCCATACCACAAAGTGAAAAGGGTACAGTATTTAAGTACTGGATTTGACTGAGATCTCTCAGATGATCTGATGGCTGGAAGAAACCTGCTTGTCTCTCAGCAGACTTGTATGATTCAGAGAATCCAGCGGATTGAGGGATTCCTAACCAGGCACACATTAGTGACTTAATTTGCCTGCAGACAGAAGGGAGTAGAGCTTTTCAAATTTCACCACCATTTGTGGTGCATTTGTTGCATTCACAGAGAGTGCGAATGCACAGTGCTTTAAAATTAATACTACTTTGTCTTCAATTAACAAGACGAGGATTTTAACTTCCCACAGCTTCTTATAAAACCAACACATATGATAGATCTGAACACTTGTAGAAGCTACTAAGTGCCTTTTCCCAGGCATTCAGAGTGGAAGCCAAGATAAGGATTGTAAACTTAAGCCAGGACAAGAAACACAGTGATCGTTCAGTTGAAGGATCAGCTGTTACCATGCCATGTTCCTGAACAGCAGAGCACTTCTACCTTTCAGTGTCTCTTCTTATCAGATGTTTCCAGTAAAATAACTGGTAAATTCTCCCCATCTCCTCAGCTATAAAGGTATTTGATTCCTTTATACCTTTCCATCATTCTGGTGGTACTGTTGTGACAGTGAGCTGCAGTGTCACCAGCCCTTGGCCTCCCAGAGCTACCCTTGGTTAATCTGAGTTTTACAAGTAGCACTTAATCACAACCAGAATTTAACTTCTAGGAGCAAAATAGCTTGCATATTAAGAAACCAAATTAATACATTTAAATCATTTTAGGAACAGAAGAAAAACACTAAAGGATCCTTATAAGGATTGCTGCCAGATGTAGTTAGAATGGATTTAATAATAGATATATACACTAATAAAAAAATATGAGTATTATAAAATTCAATTGACACTTATTAATATCAAAATATTATAATTTAGAAGTAAATTTAAGATTGAAAGTACTTTATTCTAATGAATAACACAATACATGCTAACAAGATTATTAGAATGACCATGTCATCAAAGGGTTAATGACTCCAGTTATGGTAGAAATTTAAATATCATGGGGAGGCACCTCCTGACCCAGCCATCACTGAGAATTATGCAGATTCAAATGGGAGCCACACAGGCTTTGATTTCCCCCAAGGATTGATGAACAAGTACAAAATAATAGAAAGTGACAGGAAGCAGATGACTGAGGTCTAATTTAATGTCATTCTAAAAGACAATATACCTTAAATTGGCCTTAGGAAAATTATGGGTTACAAACAAGAGAACAGAAACATGCACTTTTTCATTTTAGTTCACTAATTTAAAAAGTAATCCTTTGAACAAATGAACAGTGAAACAATAGTCATTTGGCAATGAAAAATTGCCAAACTTAAGTGGGCGTACTTTGTTTGCATAATTTTCAATTTAATGGAAAAGGCTGTAATCTTAAGAGGAGAACACTATTAAACAAAATAATGAAATGATCTGAAGAATTTTATGCAAATATTAAATTAAGACTGCTATGAAGACAAAGAATAGTTCCTAAATAGTATGACAAAATGCAATGAGCATATGCTTGGGAAAAGTTTGCCATTTTATTAAAGGATTAGCTACATATGCACCTATCTAGAAATAAAAAATCTATTCTGTAATGGTTTTTCTAAGAATAAAGATAGAATATTTTACTGCTTTTAATTACTAAGTGGCCTTCTACAATCCAAAGTTAAGAACAAGCCACACTTCAGTCCAAATTTCCCAGATTTCAGTACATGCTGTATGCAACATGCATTTACATTATTTCACATTACAGTAATTATAAATATCAACATTTGAACAATCTGAAACAATTCCTTTTTATACCATAAATATTTGAGACATTTGTACAGAAGCAGCAATAGACATTTTTTTTACTTCAGAAATTATGCTATTTATCATGTATAATTTTTTTTCCGTTCTTCAACATCAATGAATAGAGGCATCCCTAATCAGGTATCTGCTCAGTAATTGTCTTAAATTCCCCACTGTTTTTTTCTCAGCTAGTATTTAAACATAGGGAATGAATTTTGATAAACAAGCATTCAAAAAAAATTTATATACACAGCATCAAATTAAACAGCTTAGAGATATAGGAGTTTGGAAAGGCTCAATGTAATAGCAGATTTTCTCCAAATTTTCTCTAAAAACTGAAGGTTGATTAATTAATTTTTAAATGGGTGAAATAGCTTTTTTTTTAGCATGTACAAATACTCCCTCTCACAAAGAAACACGACAGCCTCCCTGGTATGATTAAAGCAGGAAAAAGGGAAGTGCATTGCGCAAGTGCTCCATCTGCAACTCCGTCACATGGTAGACCTGGAGGCATCTCAACAGTGCTAACAGAACTGCCTCAGGAATCTACAGAGCAGCCAGATGCCAGCCCTGGAAAAATATGTAAAATTGCAGGAATCTCTGCATCCTGTGACTGGCATTCAGAGAGAAGCCATAAGACCGGTCCGATGTTTAGGGCTGAACAGAAGCCCAATACTCTCATTTATTTTCATTATGTGTAGCGGGATTTTTCATGTAAGGATAAATTAAACAATACTGATAAAAAGTGTGCAGCCCTGAAAGTTTTCTGAGGAAGAGCTACATGTAACCTTAACCAGGCAGAAAATATACATTGTAAAATTCAAGCGTATTACATTAAGGGTAAACCAAATGTGAGTTTGCATTATTAAAGTTGCATGTGAAAAGGAGCTTTTAAGCAAATTTCTTCCTTTAGAAGAATACTACAAGTATTTTACAAACTAAGCATAGCAATAATACATCTCTGCAAGATCAACAGAAGTAATTCTTTCCTAAAAAATCTATGTTTTATGTATGTAGTGAATATGCTTTTCAATAGTAAATTCTGGCTGGAATCATCTTTATTTACACCTTTACTTAAAAGATGTCAAGTTCCCTATATATAAAAAACTTATATAATTTAGAAATAATGTAACTGCTATTGCCATTGGAAAACAGTCCCTTGATTGTTATATTTCCTGACATCAGGTTGTTTTCCTTCATGTAACGTCCATTGTTCAGTGACATTTGCAGTTATCTTCAAAACTGCATTTTCGTTTACATGACATAAGAAAGACGTGGTCTTCATTTAAAGAAAACACAGGGAAAGAGGGGGAGGGGAGAGAATATATGATACTAAATATGGTAATAAAGGTTAGGCAAATGGTCCAGCAAATCTGAAAGAGTTAAAACTCCAGCATAGAGTTTTTCCAGACCTTCTTCAGTGAACATTTTCAGAGCATCCAATCCCCGCATATTGTCCGAGCCCTTCACCTGGTTGAAGTGCTGACTACAACCCAGGAGAGCCAACCTGCCCAAGGCACTGGTGGGAACCAAGCAGCACAACACTTGATAAAGGCTTGGATCACATGGCAGCCTAAGAGTCACCTAAGAAAAGGGAGCTGGAAACTTTTTTAAATGGCATCTTCCTAACCAGAGCATTAGGCTTGATCCCTTGCCCTTTGTGGTAGAACATCACAGTTGGAGTCAGCAATCAGGGCTTCGAACAGTGTTAAAGAATTCCCTGTTTATAGACAAATCAGCACCTTATGAAGAAGGAAAACTGTTTAGGTCTTCCATCTCAATGCCAAAAACAGGACAAAAAATGGGAGAACAAATATTTCTAACTACCATTATTAATGCTGAAGGAATCAGTGAAAACAACTCTGACCTCTAAATAAGCAGCTACAAGATACACCTCTCAGTTTTACACTCTTCTGCTGAGCATGACTGCTTGCACACTTAATTTTCTACCAGCTGGAATTTCAGCAAAACAGAATACTATAATTCCCTCTATTATAACTGGAGTACCATATGTATAACACCTCCCTATTTGTAAGTAAAATTAAATAAAAATGTGCCACAAAGTAAAACAAAACTATTTCCAAAAATAAAGAGAGACTTTTTGTAAGCAAACTCAGGAGAAAACAGAGTTTTGACAAAGTTGACAAGGAATCAAGAAATAAGGAGTGAAGAACAACTAAGTATAATTTTATTCTGAGCTTTTGAAGGATCTACGCATGAAAGCTTGGCCATATTATCAGACTCTTCCAAGACTTTACACATTTATTTTTTTAGATGGAATTTGTTCTCGTAAGTATAAATGCTGTATGGCTCCTGGTTATTCTAGTTTTTTAAAGCCTTAATTCAATCTGGATTTTAATAAGGACTGCTGGCAGATAACATCTATCCCAAATTTTATTTCCTGGTAGTTATTTGGAAGTCTAAAGATATATTTCTCAATTATCAAAAAAAAATTTGTCAGTTATCTCAGCTATTGTCAATATTCGTGACCTGTTCCCTTGTTTACAGGCTTTGGAAGTGAATTTTCTGGATCTTGGGAGATATGTGATTAACCACAAAGCATTCAACAGACACTTGGTTGTCTATACAAAACTTGTTTCCAGAAAAGTCTGGTCTACTTTCAATCTTGGTAGGGCAAAACCATGTTACTGCAGGCTTTACCATGTCTGTCGTGAATTATCCAAATTCTTTAAGACTTCTGTGAGATAATTGTCTCTTTCTGCAGAAACTAGTCCTTAGACCATGTTCTGTACCTTTTAAAGAGTTAATGGTTATATCAAGGTCTTTGAGAATGTTTTTCCTTCTGTATGTCATTAAAGATTGGGAGAGCAGCTCATGAAATACTTTTTTTTTTTCTAACTGAGGACCATTTTTTCCTTCTTCACATACCATTTCTTCCTTCTGCATTTTAAAAGATGTCAAGATGAGTAGTGATCATGAACTCTAAGTAAGATTTAATGCAAAAATATGGAGGTACTTACATTTTGGGACATAGATGTGCTCGTTAAACAATTGCTTACAGTCCAGTCTGGGAAGCAGGGTAGAATATACTTCTTATCTTACTCAATACAACTAAATAATTTCTTGAAATACACCTGTATTTTGGGCTACCTGCACAAACAGGAACTGCCAGAATCTTGGTAACTGATAAAATTCCCCTTTCCTCCTGGTAGGCAACACCGGGACACTGCCAAAAATGATTGTGGAGAGATGTCCCCTTGTCATGAGAGAGAAATGGTACACAGTCAACCATCCTGCTCTAGCAAGAGGTAAACATTTGGATCTCTCCAAATGGGCAAAGCAAGCTGAAGTTCAATCATTCTCCTGAAGTGCTTTGAAGATCACATTTGTGCTAAGAAGTAAATTTGTCTCTGAACCAGTGAACAGTTTGCAGCTTTGACTGAGAGGCCAACTCAGGACTGCAGTTAATTTACAGAATTACAGATTTATAATGCCCACACATTTGCTAGTTTGCTCAAAGGAATGGTACCTTTACTTCGAATAACTGCTGCCTTTAAGATTCGAGGATATAAATTCAGAAAGCATCCCATTTACCTATAAATTATGTGAAATAGTTTTTTGTATAGAAGGCACTAGAGCATGACAACTTGACAGAGAGCATGGAACCCAGATAACTCAGCTGGATGAAGCAGCTGAGATGGCTCAGGGAAAAAAAAATCACAGTGAGGAATGCTGGCAACCGGTTTCTTTGCTGCAATGGTAGAAAAAGATTCCCAAGAACAGTGAACAAGTCACTTCAGCTCATGGCACAGGCTGCAACACATTTTGTATCACACAGTTGTCTGCCTGTTGTCCAAACTGGGAGAACTCTTCAAAAGTCCAAGAAGGTAGGATTCCTGTTTTGACTGCTGAAAGAAGAACATATGACAAAAACAGAGGACTGACGATCCATCAGATGCCATCTGGACAATGAAATTCTCGAGCCACTGAGACAGAAAGGAATTCTGAACTTCTAAGAGGTCAGTGTGTCTGTGCCTGTGCAGAAGAGAATCTGCAGAGAAGATCAAGATGAAAAAGAAATACAGGTTGGTGACCACACCCAAATGGTGATGGGATAGAGATGTTTATCACTAGTTCTGGGCAAAAGACTGCAGCTTATAAATCAGACCTGAGCACAAGAGGGCTGCAGCTCTCTGAGCTGGCACAAGAGAAATCTCCCATGTTCTGGATGCTCTTAAGAAAACCCTTGGCTCAGTCAGCACAGTTTGGCAGTTCAGCACTTCACTGTTTTCAGTTGTACTAAGTTAAGTAAGGTGATTTCTCTATTTCTTAGTGTAAGGGTTATGAAAAAAATTATTCAGCGAGACAAAGAGAAAGATTTAGGATTTAGTGTCATTTTCTAGAGAATAAGTTTAGCAGTAATGTATTTTAATGTCCTTGGAAACTGCAAGTCACCACAAATTGAGAAGACAGATTTGACCTTCATCCCTGATATGTTCAAAATAAAACTGAATTAGTTTTATTTCTAAACAGAAATATTTATGTTTTAATATTGAATTTAAGTAATTAATCAAGATTCAAAACAATAAACACAGTAGGTTATTAAAACAGAAAAAGAATGTAAACATGTTTAAAAGCTCTTTTGAAAAAATGGTCAAATTTTAAATTATATAATAATAGTCTTCTAAATTTTAATAAAATTACACTATAAGGTACAGGAAACTATATTTGAGTGACATATAATAAATCTAGTGCATGCACTCTAAACAGGCCCAGTCTTTTTGGATCTTTTAGGCAATATAGGAATAAATTTTTTTTAAAGCATATTGAAATAAAATCATAACATGAAACCAGCATCTTTGAGAAATGCTCAACATCACAATGTTTGATCTTTACAGACTTAAGGTCCTCATGTTAAACCCATTTAGGTAAAGTTTATGAAACGTGAAGAACCTGCACTGAATATTTCAGGAATTAGTTATTTAGAATAATTGAAAAAACAAACCAGTCTTTGCAAGTCTGAAGCAAGGAAAACTAAAAAGAGAGAAATAAAGCAAATAAAACCTTCCATTTCATCTTTTTGGGTATTCCTTCTTACATTTAGCTTTTAAGCCAGTAAATAATTGCTTTTGAGAGGTTCTAACAATCAAAGAATAACATTGATTAATTAGGAAAGAATGTGAAGAATACTAATCAATCCTTAAGACAGTTTTTCTTCTCCCATCTCAGTCCTTTTCGTCCCCCACAAACAATGTGTTTTCTATACTGTTCAGATTCCTTTAAAAAACATTCATATTCTTGTCCATTCACACAAAACTCTCTTGGTGAGCATTGTTTTGGGAGGAGTGGGTGGCAGGCAGGGGGCACAGGATGTTGAGAGAACAGATAGGATGTCAGGTGAAGATGGAATGCTGTGCCCTCTCTAACCAGCTGAAGGCTCTGCATGATTGTTTTCTTACAAATAATACCTGTGGGTGTTGAAACAGTTCAGGGAATCTATCAAACCTACCCTTTCACTCTGCTGTTGTAACTCCATAAAATTTATTCTCATTTCAAAAGAATCTTGGCAATAATACCTGTAGGTGGTTGAGTAATTCAGAGAAAAATCTGTCAAATCTACTTCCACTGACTTTAGCAATAGAATTCCGTAATTACTCTCAAAGTTGCAAAATGCAATGATTTATTTTCAGTATGTTCAGGAAGTTCTAAACTGAGTTTTTGTTTTTTAGTTTAGCAACTTCTAATAAGCTTAGTGGAAGATCTAACTCAACAAGTAAACCTAATAATTGTGCAGCATTTCATTTAACTCACAACGAGGAAAAAAAGGCAGTGCTGCATGTAGGTAACAGGCAGGACACTACTGCAAGTATAGTCCCATCTTCATATGGGCAGATAGTCCACATTTAACTTTTTTCCTACATAACTCTAAGAGGATACATCAGGAACTAAGCTGGATTCAACCCTGTCTGTGTAATAATACATGAGTTTACAGATTATTTATGAACAACATAACTGAAGACCTCTGCCTCCTGATTAACAGATATACTTCATATTTCTTAAGTCAGAAATTTAGAATAAAATTGAAAACTCATAAATTTACTATAAGCCTAGTTATACTAGAAGAATCTCTCAGTGCCCCCAGACTCAGGCACACATTCAATTTACTCTGTTTAATACCCCCCACTTTGTCAACTGATCTGGTTGAGGGAACATTTATTCACTTTGGGTCCGTGGCAAATGTGATGCCATTTGACCTTGCACAATCCCCAAGGAAAGACAGAGAGTCTGAGATTACCTGAAATAATCTCAGTGTGCATAAAGACAGATAAAATACAGGAACATTATCATCTGTCTGACATATCCTTAGAACCTGGACCCAGATGATCAAAAATATTTTACATACCATCAAAGTCAAACAAAGGGAGTCTTAACTAAGTCTTAAGACTTTCAAGTCCATGAACTTTAAATGCTAAAAAAAAGACAAATTCATAGTTCAGTGCAGAGACACGTCTTTTGCACTGGCATTTTCTGGTAATCCAATGACAAGACTGATAATAAAAAGCAAAGTAACAAATCTCTTTTCCTTTTCCCTCCCTGTCCTCATCAAAGAATCCATGTCCTATTTGGATTCACCTAATTATGCAGGAGGCACCTCAGCACATCACATCTTCAAAAGGTGAACTGGTTTGTGGTCAGCAAGGCTTAATCAAATATGAGTGGCAAATACACTGTGCAAAGATGTTGGACCCTGCTATAATTAAAACTTCATTAGTCCCAAATGGTCGCTTAATTTCTAATTTGCAAAAGAATATCATCCCCCATCTGTGGTCTTTTGACTAATATGTAATTTTTTAGTGTAAACCATATGTCTCCAGCAAACATTCATGTTCAAACAGGGAGAGAGAAAAGATAATGCAAGTTCATGGTGAAAAACAATCCAGAAATTACATTTTTAAAGTAGTCATTTAACTCCTTGACACAACTTCAGATAACATTTCCACCATTTACTCTCATCTACGTATTATCAGTGCAGACAAAATTAACAATTAAATTAAGAGGATAAAGTACAGGACAGTGTTACCAGATCACCTCACCAGAAACACGAAACATGAGTAGCCACCCTATTAACAATAAGGCTCTGACACTTAAAAGACAAATTGTATAAAAGTTACATACCAAAGTAGAAGGAAAACCAGAAGCAGTATCATTCTTGCTGCTTATAAAAAGGAAAAGATTTAATCAGTCATTCTTGTAACAAACATGCTATATCTGTGCAACTAGTTTTTAATTACCCAGTCCTCAATAATCTCAACCACTTCTTTTCAACAAAATAAAACAGTGCTAGATTGCTGAACTCGATAAGCCCATCCTTCGTGCTCACTAGACAGAACAGTTGGTTCTATATCTTTTAAAAATACACTTCAGAAGAATGTAAGATTTCCAGTAATTTCCCTGGGAAGTAAAAGTCTGTCTGGATCTAAATTAAGTTTTATTTATTAGAAATGCAATATGGCATATGGCGGAAACTCTTTATATGTTCTATCAATCAGGTGCCGTCCATATGAAAAGGAGGAAAAAAAAACCCTATTTAACATATCAAAATAATTTTCTTACAAGATAAATAGCTCAGAGACAATTCCCCTGCAATGTATGTTTATGAAAAATCAGCAGGAGCCATTTATGGTCTCATAATACATAAATCAACTGAAAGAACACTTGGTCAGAATGTGAAACATCCCAACATTAACTCCCTGTGACTACAAAGCTTCCCTTTTCCCCCTTACAGGTGTCAAATCACTGCAACGTTATGATTGTTGTTAGTAGCTGGTAACAACTAAATTTATTTAGATGATAATTGTTTTTTAGATGCATTTAAATGTTGGGTTCGGGCGGGGGGGAGAGATCGTATCCTTACACGTTACCAAATGAAAAAGCATAAAAATAGCTACGAATCATCTTCCTTTTCCTGACCTAAACAATTTTGTGCCAAGGCAAATGAACTCTTCCAGATAGACAGACATCCGTGCCACTAAGTGATGGAAATAAACGGGGCTTGGAAAAAGCAATGTTTATTTTTTCGCTGGAGCTTTTGCTTTCAGGATAATTACCTATGCACAAACTCTAGATGGCAACATTGCACTTACTGTATTACTAAAACAAAATGTCACACTGAGTCCCTACATATCCTCTTTATCAACATTTTATGTGCCACAGATCTATAGCCTCTTATTATAAGTGTAATGAAGCAGAAGTTATTGAAGCATTTTATTGATTGCTCAGATCACAAGTTTACTGTCATACTGAATTGGCACCTTACTTGCTGAAGCAAACTGCTGACACCTTTTTAAAAAAGTGACAACTACATCTATTTCATGACCAGAAATCCATTTTCATCTCTATCAAGACAAGAATGCAATTTTCACTTCATTTAACTGATGTTAGGCCTGCTCAAGGCATGACACTTAGAAAAAGACACAAGTTTAAGGTTCTTAAAATATTTCTGGTAACTAGAATGCAGCTCAGCTGTGGGAAAAATTCAAGCCTCACTCAAATCTATAAACAATACGACATTCTAAGAGTCACTTAGCTGAACTATCAAGAGGGCAGTTTTCTATTTCAATTTCAGAATTACCAAAGCACTATTTTTATATTATTTTAATAAGAAGCTAGGCTGAAATAGTACAGTTTTCATCTCAAATCTTGCTCTACACAAAGTTCACTTTAACATGGGATTATTTCTTGAGTGGTCTCTACACAGGTCAAACACACAAAAAAAATCTACTTTTCTGTGACCTATAAAGAAGGAAATAAAGATACTTAACACCTCTTCAACGGTGTGAGTCAATGTCTTATAAAATTAGAAAAGCAGAAGCTGCAAGGAAGAGGAAAAAATAATTTAAGCCTAAAAAAGGGGGGGGTTGTCACTGGACAGAGGCTGTGATACTCAAGTTATTTTAAGAACACACTTTCAAAACCCATAAAAACACAAATACAAGACTGGGTTAAACTGGAAATCAAGTTAAGCATTTTGATGAAGTTCTCATTTTCTTCAAATAATATCTAATAATTATTATGCTGAGTTTATCACAACACAATCTAATTTTATGAAAACAGGACTATAAACAGGGTAAGTGCCCTTTGGTATAAATTTCTGACAACTCTGTGAACAAGAATGGATATAAAAATTATAGGAAAAACATACTGACTTAAAAATACTTTGTAGAAGTGTATCATTTTATTAGTTTCTGCCAGGCAAGGCACCTGCAAAATGATTATTCCTAAAAGCTAGTTTACATTTTATTTGTAGGGGGGCAAAAAACCCAAATGAGTCATTAAAGCTCTTACTGAACAATGCAACTACTGTAATCTGTGAAAAACAGTTTAATAGTAATGATAGATATGTTTCTTACAAAGTAAAAAAGAAGAAAAGTTATGGAGAAAAGCATTTGTTTGTGTATCACAGAGGTATTCAACCTCCAGTACTTGAGTCAGCAGTTTCAAGAGAACAACACAAGAAAATAGAAGAAATATAGACTTTCTTTTTCCTTTGTTCTGGTATTGGCAGTATTTCAATTGTTTAAAAGTCAGTAACATTTTTATGGATCTGCATAGAAAAATGAGGACTACGAGCTATGTTGTTTGTGGATATAGCTTAGAATAATAACAGCAAAACTGTTGATATACAGTTTTGAAATAAATAAATTTAAGCTTGTGTTTCCATAGCCAAAATGGCGAGTAGTAGGATCAGTCAATAATTTTATTCTCTTTTGTTTTCTTGTGGGTATTTTGCATACTAGCTCCATTACTTTAATGTAATGTAATTTGCTGTGGTTCAAATGATTAATTACTGTTACTGTAAGTTCTGCTAGATCAAACTAATGAACATTCAGCACAATTTCCTGTCACTTCTCATCCCAGCTCAGTCTCCTCATCCCCACACATAACACACTTCCAGTAAAAATAAAAGCACATAGAATAAAACCCCTGGACCAGCTCCGTTTGTTAACTATCACATTCAAATTTTGCTAGACCCTTGCAAGTAACACGTGCTCAAAAACATTCAAATATGCTGAAAGAAATTTGTGACTCTCAGATACTTATACACATACATTTTCCATAAAAAATCTTTACTGTGGCAATGAGATATTCTTCTATTTACCTGTTCACGTAACGTTTTATATCATTTAGTAAAGGACAGACCAACAGCTTGAACAAAGCGTTAACTCTAAATGAAGAAAATGTTTAAAAATCATTAATATCATTTTAAAAAGTATTTGAGTCTTCTCTTTTGGCCTCTGTTTAGCTGTGCTAGGCCTGTGAATGACAGCTTCCCTGCTTGAAGCACACAGAAAGCACAGCCTTCCTCATTCACTGTCAGTACTATGGCCTTTTCACACGTTCCCTCCACAGCAGTGTTTGTCCCCAAACACTGGAACCCAGCACAATGGCATTCCTACTTCAACACCCCCACCAACAGCACCACTACAGATGAAGAATGCTAATGAGGTGGACATCCCCCCTCTCCCAAAGTGTGAACTATATCCCATGCTATCAGATATAGTGCTGTTCCTATTGTTACGTGTCACAGCTCACTTCAAAGCACTTTCATTTGGGCAGCACTTTTTTTACCTAAAAGCCACCACTGCGGTGGCTCGACAAAAAAGATAAAAAAATATCTTACGTGCATTCACCCAAGCATGTACATTATATACAAAATTAACTCATTTTAACCTCCAAAGAGGTTTGAGGATACCAGAAATTCCAACAGACACCTACACAGAATGTTTAAAATTCTGGTAAAAGGCTGACAACTGAAATATTAATAGCAGAATAATTCAATCAGAACTGTTGTTTAAATTTTACTTTCTTTTATGTTTGTTTGTTTGTTGTTTTTTTGTTAGAAAACTGCATTTTACAGTCCCAGAATGTAATGGCATTAAAATACCAATATAAGCTTTGTCAAGATTTTAGGGAAGTTTATAGATCATTATGCACATATGTAATTCCAATTAGAAAGCGTTTAAAGGGAAAAAATAGAAGTTTTTTGTGGTATAGTGGTTATATGTATATATTTTCCTGCTTTCTCGCTTATTTAAAGTAAAAGTAAAACCAGCTCCCAAAGCTCAAGCAGTCTTTCAGTTTTACCTGTTTTCCTTCACCTGTATTAAACTCAAGGAATACTATTTAAGGGATACTGAGTGTCCTCCTTAAAAGGCTACAAAGGCCACAGCAAAGAGACAGTAACTCCTCACTCCTCTGGGGCAAGAAGCAAGAGTGATTATAAAGATGACACTGTGCACTGTGTGGACCAGAAACTGTGTGTTCTTTTAATTCAATGTAGGCATTTTAAACAGAAGCCCAGATGGATTTAACAGAAATATGTGTATTAGCATACTATTATAGAAGTATGTGTATTAGTATATTATTAGTTGTATGTGCTATTTGACTTCAATGGACAGACTAAAGTGTCTTAGCAGAGTAATACTGAATCAAAGAAAGTTCCTGGTTTTTTACTTCCATTCCCTTTTTATCTACGTGAAAAGACAAGGTAAGCACAAGTAATACATATGTCAAAATAGCACAGAGATAAATAGAAATCAAGAAAATATATTTAATGTTGTCAGGTAGTGGCTAGAGGTTATATTGCTGTGAATACTGTACAATCATCACAGCATTACCCTGTCAGGCCTCAGCACCACAGGACAAAGTGAGAGTATTTTCATTGAATGGTTTGTTAATAAACATGCCTTCTAATTTTGTATCTGTATTGTATCACAGCGTGCTCTTTACAAAATAAACTTGTTTCAGTTATTCAGAAAAAAAAGGGTAGCATAAGCAAAATATGGTAAGATCATGGTAAGAATTGTTATACCTACAGCATAAAATAACCTGCAGTTACTATAATTACTTCATTTATGTTCAGTACTAACACAATTTCAATTAGAAAATGGTTGGAAAAATTAACAGAGAGACACTTTACACCAAATTATATGTTTCATCTTATCTTTGGAGTAATATAACTCCAAATAACACAAGCTTTTGGCACATTAACTGCACAAAACATTTAACATTCTTGTGCTGCAAAATTTTCATTTCAGCACTTAATCCAGTTTATTAATCCAGTTTATTATTATTAATTGTTTATTAAATTATTCTAATCATAAGGTTTTGGGTAGACAATTAACTGTCATAGCTGTACTGACATCTATCCTTGTAATCTGGACTCTTAAAAGTTACAAATGGTTAACGTGGTTATATGAACATATGCCTGTGTGCAAGGCTTTCATTGTAAAGAATCATTTGTCTTCAGAAGAAATTTCAAATCCACTGAAATTGTTAAGTATTTCTTGTCATTTACAATTTCCATCTGAACCCTGATGGATAATCAGCAAAGGAACGACTAACATGAGCTAATTTACTGAAATGTCTTTATATGTTTTTCACAGAAAAGAGCAAAAAGTAGTCAATAAATTATTTCCATGTGAATTTCTATTTAGAAACTGCACTGTTTGTTTTGTTCTACTAATTGCCATTGTACTTGCTAAATACTTGTATGCATTATATATACATATTTGCGTTTATTTAAGAGTAAATATTATATTTTATAATAGATTTCAGTTCCATGGCTTTTGTGACAGGCAGTGTTATCTTAAAAGTGTAGAATCATCAGCATGAAGTGTGAAGATATTTCTGACTTTTTAATATATCACTCCACTGCCTCAGAAACGGTCTGAAACAAGCTTTTTTTTTTCCTTTTCTGCTTGTTTGTCTTTCACGTGCTCTCTCGTTTTTGTTTTTGTTTCTGTCGGATTTCTCCTTGCTGACCACTCTTTAGCTCTAGACAGGAGCAGTGTCCCCAAAGTCAATTCTCATTTCTCTGTATGGATCTGACAGCAGGAGGTGCTGTATAAACAGTGTGACTGACACTTCGCCTGCTCCTCTCCTCCCCCTTCCCGCACAGCCTGGGAGCTCAAATCTCTCCTGCAGTCATTCTGAGCTCTGGGCCCCGACAGCACTTTTAAATCCGAGGTTCCCAGCTGGCTGCTTAATTTCTGTATGATACTTTTCCTCCAAAACCTGTATTCTTATGAAGTACTCACCTAATCCTTAAAAATATCTACGTTCTTACACATATAAGTGAACATATGTTACTATGCTGAGGAAAATCGATGTTTTCTTACTTATATTTCCTAAAATAAAACATTTGATTAATAAAAAATATCATCTTATTGCTCCTAAACTTTTAGACAGTATATTCAGTATCTGTTTTCCACTATTTTTTCGAATTAAAATGTGTGTCTGGTATATTTGCTTGATGGCACAATTAAAATATTGATGTTTTAAAACATGATACATTTATTTAATTTTTCATAGTGCAACACCAGTTATACTTAAAAGTGTTTACTTATTTATTTAAAGTATGTTTCAACTAAATAATTATTTAAATTAGTTTTATGGGAAGATCTATGAGACCATTAAAAATTGCATGAGCAGAACAAGCAATGAAAAATGATTGCTTTAGAGAATATCCACACAAGGAACATCACAGCTAGGCACAGTATGCAGCAAGAAAAGATGAGGCACATGACATCCCACACCAAAAGAGATCCCACACAATTAACTGCTTTATTGTTGGCTTTGCAATTATAGGAGAAGCGTTTCATTTTCCTAACAGGCACTGCAGCTCCTGCAATATATGTCACACTTCTTTAAGACACAGTGCCAACCCTTGGTTTTATACAATTAGTACATTTGAAAACTAAAACAGAAAAGTAGACTTTTAAAGAGTGGGACAACTCACCTGCTTGCAACAGTTTGCAGACTTTAATCGTTGGTGCAGGGCCAATAGAACTCCTTGGATATAAATCTTTGCTCCTGAGAGGCTGAAACCTTCTCTCTTAAAGACCCAAAGAGGTCCAAGGTGTGATGAAATTTTGCAGGCATCTGTCAAGCAGAGGAGCTATGCAAAGAAAAGAAGAAAAAGGGGAAAAGAAAAAAAAAAAGAAAAAGAAAAAAACAACCCCAAAAGCAAACGCATTCTTTTGACCCAACTGAAACACAGAGCCTCTAACGCAGCCTCAGCATCAGAACTAACTCTTAATATCTATTATTTATATCTGACCTGGGTTAAGTCTTGGAAAAGCAACTCCTGCATTTCTAGTGGCCACCATGAAGGATGTATTTATATTGAGACACCCCTCAGGAAAGACTCCTAAGCTCGGTGAGCACACCTGAATAGTTCTGAAGTGTGCCTAACTAGCTGCACGGCGTGTCATGGTGTGCACTGATTGCCTTATCTTCTCATTTATCACAGATGAGTTGGAACCAACCTTGCTGAAACCTACTTGCATTGTCCTCATAAAATTGCAAGATCCGTGGTGTTTCTGTACACAGTTTCCTGTTGAGGAGCTGACATACACCTACAATATTATAAAAAGGTAACATTCATAAAATAGTATCAACACCCTCATAAGCTGTTCTATTATAACCTTCTCATTGCCACTACCTTAAAAACAACTTACAGCGAATAAAAGTGCTCAGTGTAGCTGTTTAATAATGAGGAAAGGTCAAATGAAAAGATATATAAAATTGATTCATGGCAATGCTCTCTACGAGGTCTTTTTCTTGCTGTTTTTAGATTTCGAATCACTGTAAAGGTTGAAAGCATTCTCTCAAAGGGTCCTAATGTCAATATGTGAGATAAATAAGGGATGATTATTTTGGCTTCAGGCATCACTAAGGTGCATGTGCTTTGCAGATATTTTTGTGTAGCACATGTGGGCCTTTCTGATACAACAGAATAAAATAACATTAAGTAGCATTTCAGGCTTTTACCTGAGGGAAGAGAAGGCAAGGCAGGGCTATAGTCATAAAGATTCATATTAGCTATATAGGTATAAATGGTGCATTTCCTAGCTACATAAATACTAACACAGAACCATAGGTTTTGTCAGAGAAAACAGAGGAATGGGGGTTACACTTTAGGTATTTTTGTTAGAATAGGAGACACACATTTCATTTGGTTTTGGCAAATATTTAGCCTCAATAGCTGTTCAACTCAGCTGTGAGAACAGAGTCTGAACTGAGACCTTAGTTAAGAAACTTTCATATGCAAGTTCATTAATAACCAGAGGCTTTTGGACAGATCAAGAAGGAGCATATCATATAGTTAAATTCACCTTCAAGGGTAAAGAAATAGGTAATCATGCAACAGACTGAACTCTGCCTCTGCTAAAGTCACTGCATTTTACGAATGATTTAAGCACATGGTTAACTGAAACTGTGTTTATTTTTGTCAAAGGCATTAGTTTTTTTAAAATCATGCTAAAATTCAAGTCTTCTGACTTCCACAAATTCATGATAGAACTTTATCACCTAGTCAGTAATTTTATGTGTTCTCACATAAACACTCCTGGGAGCTTCCATATAGAATGCTTACTTCTCTTTTATCTAAAGAGAGACCAGACTTCACAAACTAAGACTGCTGAGGATCCACTGAACAAGGTTAATATGTATATTAACCTACACTAATGATTACCCTAAAAAGCAACACAGCAACCCTTTTTCAAAATATGTCATCAAAGCGAACACTCTAAACCAGAATCCCTACTATAGACCATTAAATATTTCCTTTTAAAATCTGATTTCTCAGGACATGGCCATGCAACTGAACACGAGGAAAAATTATTTCAAGATGACAGTAAATTAATTAATACTTTTTCAGATTATTCTAATAATGTACTTACTCCTTACCACAGAATTCAGACATAAAATTAAGAAGATAATGAACAAGGTCTGACCAGGAACACAGACAGGAGTGAATATACTTCAGTCAGCAGCATGAGAATGAAATCTATGTTTCACGTTACGTGATGAGCAGTGGTTATAGTCATATTTAGTTCAAACAAAATAAAAGGATTAAAATCTGATCCCAGTGAAGTTTTAGAAATACCCTAAGTAGGTATGGCTTTTACTCAGTGCTTTTTAACTTAGTTACCACAGGAAAATTATTACAGAAATGAAGATAAAGGAAAGTACTGGTGCTTTTCTGAGTATGTAAGTAGACTGAACATAGCTGTGAGAAAAAGTGTGTGTACTGGAATTGAATGTTACATTTGGACACTAATTATAGTACTATTAAGTATTTTAAATAATTTTAAGATCAGCACAGTGCAGCCATGCTAATCCACCTTTTCCGAAGGTAATGACCTTCAGGACCAGAGAGGGATAGTTCCAAGACCTGCTGGGGTAGCTTGGAGGTTAAAAAAGTGTCACCTCTTTCAGACACACCTAACACCCAAATTACTCAGCAACACTGAGCATCAGACCCACATAATTTTCTATAAACAATAGTAATTTCCATAAACATCAGCTGATTTTATCCATAATGGTATTTGCTTCATTCTACACTCAGCCTTAATGTTTCCAGTTTTATAGTCTCAAAGAGCTTGTATTCTTTCTGGTTTTTCCCCCTTTTCTTTTGACCTCCTTTTTAAAATTCCAGATATCGATGGTATTAAATTATTAAGTGTTCACTGAAGTACAAAAACATGTGCCCCTAGAAAGGTAAAGGAATAAAGGTAGATCACTAAGGCAGTAACTTCAGAAGAGTGTATTTTACTGAAATATTCCATAACTTCATTCTGTTTGGTGATTCCAGAATATACTTTTAGAGCTCTAGATAAAAAATACACAGTTCCTCCAAAATTATTGCTAGTTTAGGAATGTTTTTGTTGTTCTCATTTGGAACTGATGTAGGTATGCAAGACTGATTTCCAATGAACAGGTACCTACTTCCAGACTTCCATACATTTTGGTGACTTACCTAAAGCAAAGAGGTATTGGTCTGAACTAATATCTTTCTGAAAATTAAGAGTATCAGTAATTACTGCACAGTACAGCTCCCAACTCCACTAGAGTGCTTTGATACTTTATACAAAGCACAGTCTACACAGCAAAGGTGGGAAGAATCTATAGGCAAAATTTCCTGAAGGTTTACAAGTCTCTTGTGAAGTGTTGCATAGTCCATTCACCATTCCAGCTGGTCAAACATTACAAACACTGAGCTATGAGGCAGGACCATGAAGGCAGTAACAGTGTGTTGACCATATCAAGAGAAGGCAAAAGCCAACTCTTGGAAAGACAGTGCATGAGCTGACTTGTGAAGTTTAGGAACAACTCCCCGCGCTGTAGGTCTTTCAGAAGGTTAGAGAGCAAAGAGAGTCTGAAGTTATGGAAAAAAAAATTAAATTACAGACAAAATTCCTTTTCTTTACAATGTCTATGCAAACTTATAAATACTGCATTAGAACCAAACTGCATTTTTTCAACTGAATCATGTTTTGCTTCACAGAGGTCTTAGCTGCTAGAGAGTCAGCCATGGATAAAAGGAGAGGACCCAAGGATCTTTGCTCCTCAGCTAAGCTGAACAGTACAAATACACCTTTATTGTTTTTATTCTCCCCCCTATTGATTTTTTTGGCTTCATATCACATGACAAACATCGAATTTCCTTGAAGAAAATAATTGGTTTACAGTGTAATTTTACACTCCTCTGAAGAACAGAGACGAGAAATTTTCCCTAAAAAAAAACCAGAGATTTTAAAATTATGGGGATAATGACATGATGCCACAGTGGCAAACAGGAAAGAAAGAACTTTTTTTTTTACATTGCCTTGTCTTTAAACTTGCTAAAAATTAGAAGAGTGCAATGTTGATCAAACAGAGTGACAGAAAGTATGAAATCCAAAGCCCAGTAGGGTATCCACAAAAAGTAAGCAGAACATTTGGAAAGGAATGGGAAAATCACCCTCTGGCAATTTGCAATCATCACAAGTGGACTGCAAAAAAATAAAACAAATAGCCCAAAATTCAGTTTGTTAACTTTCTTCTTACTTGAACTCATGACATTATTGGAGGATAGACATTAGTATTATGGTGAGCTCTTTTCCACATCCCTTTCTCTTAGCAAATAAGCCACCAAGCAATAAAAGCATCCTTTTTAAAAAATAAATAACAGTATCAGAAAAACAGGAAATAAGCCATCAACAGTTTTTCCAGAATCGGAAAAAAATAATCTTTCAATATGACCAAAATACTAGAAATTCTTTTTATACTTCCTGGGGACAAGGCTTTTCCTGAAGGTACTTTCAATGTGCACTGTACTCTGTATATATATATATATATATGAGAGGGTATGAGACTGTGTTAGTGTGCGATGTTTCTTATTTTAAGCAAACATGATGCAGCTCTTTGTCCAGGGCAACTGGCATGTGCTGCCCAAAATTGTGGTTTATACAGGAAAACAAAATGATGGAGAACATGCATTTTCCTGTGTTGTTGAAATTACACCAGTGTGGTTTTACTTCAACAAAAACTAATCTAACAGCTGCTGTGTACTTTTGTTTACATGCTATATGTCAAATCGTATTGTCCCCAAGGTACTTATGAGAGATGCTTTAGCAGTCATTTTCTTAAATACTGATGCCTATCCGAATTTGGATTTTTCCACCATTGAACAGAATGACAAGTACACGATTGCTGTACTTAAAGCAATCTTTCACAGCTGCTTCGCTTTTCCACTGATCCCATTGAATTGACGGCACATGCCTGTGGGGTCTACAATGTTACAATACTGCTGAACAAGATGTTGATTGTACACTACAAATTCCTACAACACAACTTGGCTTTATTGTGGGAACCATTTCCCGGGTCCTCCTTCCATTGATTTTCAACCTGAGCAAAAGTTGATTTAAAATCCTGCCCATCTCCGTGACCTTTACTGGACACCCGGTTATGTTAATTGTTTAGAAGTGCAAACTCTAACCCTTGGTGGTTGGTAGGCATGAAAACCTATGAAGTGTCCTCAGTTCCTAAAATGAGCATGAGTCATGTGTTTTCCTGAACTGAACGAAGTAGCTGTGCATTAAATATGCTGGCACATCTTCTGCTTGAGCAAGT